CCAAACCACAAAATCCACCCACAAAAATTATAATATTTTTTATCAAAAGATAGTTCTTCAAATGACCCAATCTAAAAAAATTTTTTTTTATTGAATATATATCTACTCAAAAAAAAAAAAAAACAAAAACGAAAAATTTTCTTATTTTTTACTAACTTCTTTTTCAATTAAACTTGATTTTCTGTTTCGATGTTGAACGCATTTTAAGGCCACTATTTGACCACCTTTTTTGTAATTTCCTTTTATGACGAAACCCGACGCACCCTTCCCGATTTCTTTAAGTTCTGTAAATTCTTTGAATTCAAAGTGTTTGACAAATCCATTATCATTCAGACTTGACATTTTGTGAAATTTTTTTTTTTTCGAAAATCTAGATAGACAGAACAGATAGACATATATATATAAAATTCTCATGATCTGTGAATTGTTAACTTAATAAACCTCCGGAGTTTGGAGAAGTGAATCCGTGTCGTGCAATATGTTGATATGATATATTTATATTATATATAGAAATTTATTTCTTTTGAATGATAATTGGTATGGTATTTCATAATACTACGGTGCACAGTCTTGCCAAATTTTTGGTTTATATTTAATCATATGGTCCGAATTTGGTTATATTCTTTACATTTTTAAGCATAAAATGTTCAAATACAGATTGTGTAATTTTTTCCAAGTCTTTTCTAAACCCTCATCACGTCAAATTACAAAGTTAACATCAAAGAAACTATCACTCCAATTTGGTATTGTGTACATTACATACACTTACGTAATTCTTGGGATTTTCGGATGGTCAAATAATTAAAACATATTCATTCTTGATAGATAAAAAAAGCATTTAAAGTTGAGTATGGCAAATAATTAATTATTAAATAAAGAATTAAATGTAAACAAAAAATAATTTATTCATTAAAGAAATTACTTTTATTAGTTTATATAACTTGAATGAGTTGTCGTCATTGGTTGTATAAATTATTAATTTTCAAAATAAAAGATTATAATTAAATAGGCGGTGATTCAAGATCTAATTTTATTAATGTTACATTGCCTGTCTTTTTTAATGATACATTAGGTAAAGGGACTTTGTCAACCGTTAGTACGTGGGCGTTTAACTTGCAGATATTATGTTTCATTTTTATATCACTCTCAAATACATACAGATCTAATTAATTGAAATGATTGGATAAATATTGTTTTTCAAAAACGTTTTTTGACGAATATTTTCTTTCTCGTTTGTTGGGTTA